GCAATAAGGATCACGAAAACACAAACTACAATCCTAGGACATTAAAACAAATCAACAAACATGCAAGAACACACTCGCTCAAATGGACATGCACAAACGTACATGTAAAAAAACATGCGCAAAAGTGCTTTCGCAACAACCTACTTAAAAACACGAAATACAACACTAGGACTTTAATACGCATAACCAAACAATAGCAAAAACACTAAATACAAAATATACAGTGGAGTGTAGAAATAACACTCAACGTTTACGTTTACGTGGATTTTTTTATGGATTAATTTATATTTCTGTTTTAATTGGTGGATTAAGTATCTTATAGGTACAAATTGATAATTAGGTGTCCATGAAGCAAAAATGATCAAAGAGTAAGAAAAGAGTTGCAATTAGGAAAATAAAATCAAATTAGAAGATAGCATCCCTCAACATCTTCGGTAGTGTCCACGAAGTCGAGCATAACTTTCTCATCCGGACTCCAAATCAACTGGTTCCTGCCGCATTAGAAAGCTATTTAGCTGGCTACAATTCCTGTCTAAGGTCAAATTTCAAAATTCGGACTCGAACATGGTCAAAATTGGATTCCAAAAGCGATCATGAAAATACGTGCTACAGTTCGACGACACGAATGCGCATAATAAAACGTGAACTAAAACACTCCCCACAAAAGATACGCACATAAGTAAAAGTACAAAAGCATTCACAAAAGTACTCACGCAAAAGTGCATTCGCAAAAAGGATCACGAAAACACAATCTACAATACTAGGACATTAATACAAATCAACAAACATGCAAGAACACACTCGCTCAAATGGACATGCTCAAACGTACATGTAAAAAAACATGCGCAAAAGTGCATTCGCAACAACGTTCTTAAAAAAAACAAATACAACCCACGGACTTTAATACGCATAACCAAACAATAGCAAAAACAATAAATACAAAAGATACAGTGGAGTGTAGAAATAACACTCAACGTTTACGTTTACGTGGATTTTTATATGGATTAATTTATATTTCTGTTTTAATTGGTGGATTTGGTATCTTATAAGTACAAATTGATAATTAGGTGTTAATGAAGCAAAAATGATCAGAGAGTAAGAAAACAGTTGCAATTAGGAAAATAAAATCAAATTAGAAGACAGGATCCCTCAACATCTTCGGTACTGTCCACAAAGTCGAGCATAACTTTCTCATCCGTACTCCAATCAACTGGTTCCGGCGGCATTAGAAAGCTATTTTAGCTGGCTACAATTTCTGTCTAATGTCAAATTTCCAAATTCGGACTCGAACATGGTCAAAATTGGATTCCAAAAGCGATCAGGAAAATACGTGCTACAGTTCGAGGACACGAATGCACATCAAAAAACGTGCACATTAACACTCGCTACAAAAGATACGCACATATGTAAAAGTACAAAAGAATGCACAAAAGTACTCATGCAAAAGTGCATTCGCAAAAAGCATCATGAAAACACAAACTACAATCCTAGGACATTTATACAAGATCGTTCGTGAGCGCATCATT